TGCAATATTGGCATTGTAGGGATCTATCAACTTGAGAGTCCATTTCCTGTGATGCAGCATTCTGTACATCTGTGACTTTACTTTTATTTGTTCCAAAATGAATTTCATGCTTAACTTGTTTTTCTTAATTAAACTTCCTTTAGCAGTTTCTAATATGTGCATTATTAAAACTCATTAGTCCCATTCATGCCTGCCTGTCATTTTTGGCTTCACATTCATGTATCGAAGAGCTCTGTTGCTTTATATAGGAAGCAAATTAAATAATAAATATGAGAACTTGAACGTTTTATGAGTGTCAGTATGAGAAAGTGGCTGCAAGGCCCATAAGGTTTCACACAAAAAAAGCATTACAGCTAAAGCTAACATGCTGACACATCTCTGATCTATAAAGTCTGCAGTAACGGTAGCAGTAAAGTGTTGTGCCATAGATGGGGAATTTTTCTCTCACATGAAATAGAAATAGGATATAGCACAGACTATATTTGCTGTTGTAAAAAAATTTCAAATAAAATTTCCCAAAAGTTTAGAGTATAACACCATTAAATGTCTACAAAGATTTACTCTTTCCATCTGACTTCATGGGTAGACCCTATTATTCAGCTCCCTTGTCCTGTTTTCATCTCCTACCACTATCTGTGAGAAAGATACTCATTCAAGTTATAGCAAGGTCTCGGTTCTCCCTGTGGTCATGTCCTGGTCATGCTGACCACGACTCCAGAGACAGAAGTGTTTCCTAGCCCAGCAGCGGAGCCTCATGGCCCCCCATTTCAGGGCCCAAGCCTCTGCAGAAATAACCCATCTTTGTGAAACCAGCTGAAGAAACAAAAGCTCCATCCCACAATGCCTATTTTATACAGGCTTGAGGATGTCAAAATATTCAGTATATCTATGTAGTAAGGTTTCTCCTAAATAAGTTGTCATTTTCTCCTCATGAATATTTCTAACGCTGTGTGCCTACGTAACACTTTACTGCTTTCAAGTATTTTTTTTGGAAACTGGGGGACGGGGTTGGGAAAGCAGAAGTTAAAGAATGATTTTAAGTTCAGATATTGAAGTTAAAAGCTCCAAACAAGATGGAATTAAATAAAAGTATAAAATACCACATAAATGTATTCCCCTCATTAAATTCCCAGAACCAGTTCAACAAGTGGGCTAATGGCATCTCTAGGCAGGATGCGACTGAGGAGATTTAGAAAACATATTTTTGAATTACCATTTAAGTTCTCTGCTTGGTTAAAGGGATATGAGTCACTTGAAATATAATATTTGTAAAGTGTCCTTGATCACTTTTATGATTTTACAGTCACGTGTTGCTAATTTCCAAGCATTACATTCTCCCTTAATATGGTACAAAAGGCCTAACCAAGCATCGATGGAAAGTAACAGACTCCCCAAAGGCAGCACTAAAACTGATTATGCAGAAAATTTGATGAGGACGAAACAGAAGAATTCAACAAATGGGGGAAAGGGAACTCCAAATGCTTTTCTTTTAATGGCCTCCTCTTTTATTTGCCCCCAGCAGTGGAAAAAAACATTTTACACTGGTATAGGCAGTCCAGACCTTTACCTGGCTTGATTACCATAAGGATATTTAGAGTAGACACTGTGCCCCACGGTTTCACACAGATCGTGTCCCTTTACACCCCCTTTTGGGTTTTAGTGAAAAGTGGCACAGTAGAGTGGGTGCACAGGAAAACTTGAACACGGTACTAAGAAGCCAGCTAGTCCCTTTTTATCTCTGGATAATACACAGCACATCAGTAACTAGCAATTCATAATTATGAAAACAAAGTCTGTTGGAAAACATGTGGGGTCTTCAGAGGCAGGTGGAAATATGGAGCTGAGTCACCAAGAAGTCAACACGATTTCCCCTTGTAATTGTGATAATTCAATAGTCATTCTGGGGAATGTAATGTCATCATTTGTTATTTAAACTACAGGATGTGCTTTCACTATGCAACACATGATGAAGTTTCCCTGTCGGCTGCTTTTTTTTTGCATCCCCTAACTCTCTCCCTCCCTCCCTCCCTCCCTCCCATACAAACTCCTCTGCAATGACGGGGCAGCAGGGCGGGCGTCCCCCTCTGAATGCAAACATTCCTTCAGAATGCAGAGCTCAGAAGCAGGGCTACGGTAATGGAAATATGCTTTTAGACCAGCACTTCTTCAGCGGTCAGGATCTATTTTTTATCATTACCTGTCATACTTACCATGGATGGATATCTGGGACTAATCAGAAATTATGTTGTTTACTGGTTCAGAATGATTACTGCCCATCCTTTATTAAAAGGAATCCACAAAAGTTTCTACTGAGTCTCTGGCAAAATGTTGTCTTTTCATTATTTGCTTTCAGAGAGCGTCTGTCTCTTTTTGCCCTTCTTTTTCACTATTCAATTTTTAAATAGTTTCTTTTTCATGTGATTAAAAAAACATAATAAATATGACATCAAACAAATAATTCAAAGCTAGCCAAGGATCTGTAATACAGCTCCACGTCTCTATTAGAAAGGAATGTATATTTGCTTTTAATAAAGCAAGCCAAGGCAATCCATTATGAACTGAGACCATATCTAAGCCTCTGCTTTCTTCTCTTTTCCCCAGACTCCATTTGAACAATTAGAGTGGTTTATGCTTGTGTGTATGCCAGTGGATATTAAATATGCAAACTGATAAAAAGTAAAACTACCACCATTACCATGTTCAAATCCTCCATTCATTTGCAAATCAATTTATCTGCCTACAGCTCTGTCCCAGTCTTTAAATAACCCTCCTCAGCAGACTGCTCCACCTCCAGCCAAATAATCCAGAGCAAACCCACTTTGTTAAGGATGTTTAAGTATCAACAGCTAGGATATTATCTTCTTACCCTACCGTAGAATAAAGGGGTAAGATAACCAAAGCGGTATCAGGACGACAGCTCTTCTCCTCGCTTCTACACAACTTATTGCCTTAAACAGCCTGAACACTCGCTGATGGCTTTCGTTGCTACTTCAGTTAATCACAAAACAGAGGTGTTCAGCCAAATCCTGCTTCCCAGCACACTTAGAATGATTATCCTCAGCCTCGTTTTTCTTCCCACAGCCTGCATACGATTCACATGAAATATACAGAATAAATGGGATCTCTTCATAGGTATCTGAGGACCCCCTCATCATTTACTGCACAACTGCTTTTGCAACGTTGCTGCAGTCTGTAGCTGTAGTCTAAGAAAACCGGTGCCATTTATCAAAAGTAACTAAGAAGTAGTCGTTTTTAACCCTGCATCGTGCACCAGCAATAAAGAGGGGAAAAAAAGAGAAAAGAAAAAAACCCACCCAACCAGTGTTTCCAAAGATGGCTACTTAGCTTTTGGCTCCCAATCTGCAAATCTAATTTCAAAGATGCAGAAGTGGGCTGCGTGTTACAGCTGTTGAGCCCACACAAGTCTCAGTGCAGTCAATGGGAATCGGTATCTTTGAAAATCAGGGCCCTGAATAATAGGGCTCTATTTTTAAATGTTCATTTATATCGTACATGGGTCTTTCACTTGTCAGGTGCCTGTAATAAAGTACACGCGATTTCTGAAGTACCCTTTGCTTCAATTAAGCTAGCCCAGAAAAAAGTAGGAGAAAAGGTCCCAAAGCTCACAGTGTTGCTCTTTCACCAGTAACAACAGTCTGTAGATGCCTCAAAAATGCTGCTACTGTAAAAAACAAACACGCCGAAAAAACAACCTAGGTCTTAAGGGAGCATGAAAAAGTTATTTTGAGCATTGTCACACATACATGGTTTCAGATATGAATTATCTCTGTGAATGTACCAGTACAGTCTGGTCCCACTAAGGCTCTGGATAAATGCAAATATTGCCACGGTGGATGGCAGTACTGGAAAAAATATTTCCTGAAACAATTTCTAACACTTAAGCTGGGGGGGGGGGGGAAATCTGCTTCATCTCAAATTCACAGAACATCTAAACGTGCTAAAAACATTCACTTGGGTATTTATAGCTTCTATAAGATATATTTCCATTTTATACTAGTGGATTTTTAATGCCGTAGTTGTTAGAGCTAAAACAAACTGGCCTTCCAGAAAGCATAACCAGTGTCAAACTAAAATGATATTCCTTAAAAAGGTCAGCAAATTTACAGAAGAAAATAGCTTGTCCAGATTGTGTCACCTGCAGCAGCAAGAACGCAACACTTTAATCAAGCTCTGTTTTGTTTTATTTAAACAATTATTTTAATGTAATTGCACCGAAACCATATGCATCCTTAAAATGATTGGAGATAATATCCTTTCTCCTGATTCCAAGGTAACTTTCTGGCTTTAATTATAAGTCAATTAATATTAAGTAATTTGACTGATTAATTTTAATTAAACCTGTTGAAAATTGATTTTCCTTCAGCACATAAAGATGAGGCTCTGGTGCGATCGTCAGGAAAAGAGGAGCGGGGCGGGGGGGCAGAAAATCCGGTACTTAACACCCAAGCGAGAAGATGTCTGAAGGAAAAAAAAAAAAAAAGATCCCTCCATCAGGCATGGCAGCCTGGGAAGGGACGCGGCACTGTAGGGAGGCACTGGCCGCCCAGCTCGGCTCGGTGGCCGGGCCAAGGGCGAGCGGCGGCTCCGGCCTTCCCGGGGGGAGCCAAAAGTTGGCCCGGGCGGGGGCGGGAGGCGGCGTGCGGACCGCGCTTCTGGCAGACGAGGGGGGTGCGGGTCCTGTGTGCGTGTGGAAATCTCCCTGCAAATTCCCGTCCCCCCCCCGGCAGCGGCTCCCGCCTCCCCGCCGCCCCCCCCCCAGCCCCCCCCCCCAAAGCCTGTAGCGTTGCATGGGGTTGTTGTGACCCAAGTGCAGAACTCGGCACTAAACCTTGTTGAATCTCATACAGTTGGCCCCAGCCCAACGATCCAGCCTGCCCAGGTCCCTCTGCAGGGCCTTCCTATCCTCCAGCAGATCGACACTTCCACCCAGCTTGGTGTCATCTGCAAACCCCGCACGCCGAGAGCATCAAAGTATTTACCAGTTCACGGTCGCTTTTCTGCAATCGCCGCTGAAACTGTAATTCACTGGATTCGCCTCCTCCGGCTCTCTCCCAGCCGCTGTGGGCTGGAGGTTTCTCAATCGTGCTCCGGACACTTCCGAATTATATCGATTTTTATAGATTTTTCTCCCCTTTCCTCGGATCGGGGCGAGGGGAGGGGGGGCTGGAAATCCCCATCCGGAATTCAGCCTCATCCGTGCCGAGCCACCTCCATTTAAATCCGACCATCAGGCAAGCAATAGAAATGATCAAACGCTACTTCTCTCCGTCTGCAAGCAGATAATCCTACTAATCCAATAGATCTCCCCCGATCCGAAATTGCCCTCCAGACGAATCCCTTTCGCTCGAGGTCCGGCGGGCGATCTCGGAGCCGCGACGGTGCCCCGCGGGGTGCGGGTATGGGTGCGGGGGGGTGCGTTAATCTTTTTTGGCTCCTGGATGCGCGGCTCGCTAAAACCGCCGAGAACCCTGCTTTTTTCCCCCCTATTACACGTTTCCACTCCAAATCGCTGCTGGATGAAAAATGGTACAAAGATACCCCCAGCGGCAGCGCGGCGAATAGCGCGGGCAGCCCCGGCCCCGCTCCCCGCTCCGCACCGCCCCGGCCCCGGCCCCGCAC